GTGACACTGTACAAGATATCTGAACAATTGATATTTGTTAAAATATTTGAACAAGTTATATTGTTCAAATTTCTTCATTTTGCACTGTATCTCCAGCTTGCTAAAATAAATTGTGCGGATTTGAATAGAAGATTCTTGCAAAAATAGGATTCTTTGGACCCTTGGCCTTGGTGACTTTTATTCCCTTTTTGCAGTTCCTTTCCATGATCCCACAAAGAAGCTCCTCATTTCTCAGCATTGAACCACTTAAGACATCTTAAACTATAATTTCCCAAGCTCAGATCATTTTTCTTTCCAGCTCATGTATACCCTAATTGTCCTGCCACCTGTTCTTCATTCCACCAAGTCTTCTTCTGTCTTTTCCTCCCAATTACTTACCCCTGCTGATTCCATTTCTTTTCCTGTACAACTTCAACTTTGTGTTTCACCAGCCCCATTCCTTCACTCTGTTCACTTGACTGTTTACCCTTCCATTACACCAAAATTTAAGACCTTCAATTTTGGTATGTTCTTTATTTATTTCTCATTATTTGTAAAATGGTCTGGTAGGGGAAAAAAAAAAAAAACCCTGTTTTGGAGTACCTGCTAAACATAAAATTCTGACCTGCCATTTATTGAATACTTTCTGTGTGTCTGATGATAAAAACTGTGCATCTGTTATCTCCTTAAACCTCACAGCCACTCTGTGGGATAGATAATATTATACCCAGCTTTACAGATGAAAATCTAATGCTTAGAAATGTTAAGACATTTATTAAAGAGCAAACAGTTAATAAATGGCAAAGACTGGATGTGGAACTTGGTGTGTTTTTTCAAGATAGATCATTACCTTTGTACATGGCTCCAAATGTACTATATTTTGTACACTTTCAACTTGATTATTATTATTATTATTATTATTATTATTATTATTATTATTATTGTCATTGTGCTTTCTGTTCTTTCCTTCTTTGGAATTTCATAAACACTCTGTCAGTCTTTTTTTTTCCTTACATTAGTTTGGCAGTTGCACATTCTCTATGATGCAGTTACCTGAAAAAAATTGGATCCTTTAAAAAATAAACTTTACTACCCTCCTCCCAGCCAATGCAGGGCTCTGATAATCCTTAAATTTTTCATATGTATCTATTTGTCCAGAAATCCAATATCCATATTATGGTTTAAAATAAATATTTATCTCATATATATCTTATTATATAAATAGACATGTATTTAAAATTTGAGGGCACTTTCCCCCATATGTATATATGCCCCTTGACTGCTGGTAACAAATATAGATATTTTTCTCCAGTAGACACCAGCTAGTGTACTTCCTGTATAAAGTACAGATCAAGTATAGATCTCCTAAAACATTTATAGATGCGGGCACTAGGAGAATCTTTTATTCTAATATTTCATCATGATCTTGATTCCTGACGTATAGTTCCTAAATCCCTTGAATCCCTTGGAATTGTCTGAATGATTGGAACATCTTTTGTTCTGAAGAGGCAATCCTGGTAGATTCAGAGTAGGGTGGGAGCTGTTGTTGTCAAGGAAACCAGCATTGTGATTAAAGCATTGGAATTTGCAGTTCCTCTCTCTTACTTCCAGTGTAGGAAGTGGAACTGAAGTTGAGTTGTCTGCCAGTGGCAAGTGGCAAACTAGATTGTGCCTGCATAATGATGCCTCCATGAAAGTCCTAAAGGATGGTGTTCAGAGAACTTGCTGAACACTTGGAAATCCAGGAGGATAATGCCCCTGAAAGAGCATGGAAGCTCTGTTCCTGTTCCCAATGGCTTACCCTTTACATCTCCTCCTACTGACTCCTCTTCTGTATCCTTTGAAACACTGTTTATAATAAACCAGTCAATGAAAGTAAAATGTTTCCCTGAGCTTATGAGCCACCATAATAAATTATCAAACCTGAAACCTGAGGATGGAGTTGTAGAAACTCAAATTTTTAGCTGGTCAATCAAAAGTTCAGGTGAATATGTACACTCAGTTTTTGGGACTCAGCCCTTAACCTATGGGATTTGAAAACTACCAAATGACATAACTGAATTGAATTATTGGGCACTAGCTGGTGTCTACTGGAGAAAAATATCTATATTTGTTACCAGCAGTCAAGTGTGTTTAGTGTTCAATATTAAAAAAATTATTTTCTTCACATTTTTTCTTTCCCCTATACATGTACACACACACACACACACACACACACACACACACACACACACACGTGGGGAGCCATGACTTGGATCAGGATCTCTGTCTTAGAACAGGAGCATGTGCCTGAGCTGGGAACTTCCTGTATAAAGTACAGATCAAGATTGACCAGTTGCTATGCTGATGCTCTGCTTAATGAGGTTCTGTGCAAGGCATGGGACTATGAGTCTTGACTTTGAGTTCAGACACCACCCCAAGCTGCCAAGGTAGAGAATTATGAGTGCAAAAAGATAGTTATAATTGGCTACCAGTCTTTGACCTTCAATCCTGCATGCTTTGAAGACACTTTCTCACAGAAAACCCTTTTGATGATAAAACTTATATAACAAAAATTCTGAGCTAGCTCTGGATCAGTGTTCCTCCATCAAAGAATGATGTCCCATCTGGTCCCAGCTCTCTCTCGGTGTGTATTTGTTTGTCTTTTCTAATCCCCCATTTCCCTTCACTGTTTTCTGAATCAATAGCCCTGCAGGTTGCACTAGACATAGTCACAAATATTTATGTTGAATTATTTTTGAGGATCCATTGGATTCTTTGACACCAATTTTATACAAGATGTCATGTGGCAATTTCCTTCACCATACCAGTTTTTCAATCTATTTTTTTTAAGAAATTTTTTTTAAAAGAGGATTTGTGTTAATCAAAAAATTCTGTCCCAGAATTCTTAGAACACACACACACAAAAAAATCTATTTCATTTCTAAGACATTATAATTTACACATAAATTTGTCATTCTATTACTGCACACTCTCTTTACTTTGAGATGTACCTTTTTATTTTCTTGCCTCTGTATTAAGTTCATACTATTCATTGGCAACATCATAGTTCTATTATTTTGTTGTGTTTTGTGTTTTAATTAGGTTCATAAAATGAAGGATTGAACATGTGTTAAGAGCTCATGAAAAACCAGCCTCTATCTCAGAGCAAAGCCTGTCCAAGGAAGAGACATGACCTTTGTCCTTGGAAAGACCCACAGAGCACTCCTAGGCACATTCCCACACTGCTAAATGGTTTATCTACAAATAACAGGAGAGATCTGCTGTGCCAGGTGTCCCTGACTCAGTCAGACTAGGTAAAGACCCATAGTAACCCCCTAGCAGCCACCAATCAGCATGAAACAGGGAATACCTGGGATGCCAGATGACCCTCCCAGTAGTTTATGGTGTTGGGAAACCACGGAGTTCACCACGAACACCCCTTTTGGCTTAAACCAATCAGTTCAAATGAATCCCCCTCTTGTAGTAACCAATCACCCCTCCCCAACTTGTTCCCACCAGTGAATGTGCTAATCATGTTTTAGAGTTGTTATTTGATTTTCCCTCAGTGTGTGATGATTTGCTAAGAGATGCTATGATGTATGTGGGGGTCCCTGCCTTCTCCAAAGAATGTATAAAACTGCTTCAAACCCTGGGCTTGGGGCCTTTCAGCGTCACCAGTTGCTGTGTGCGCTGGAAGGACAGAGCTAGCTCGCAATAAACACCTCTTTGCTGTTTACATCGATCTTGGTCTCTGGTGGTCTTTTGGGGGTCCCGAATTCGAGCATAACACTCATAGTTTTAAGACAATGTTTTCAGCTTATTTTCTAGTTATTAATCTTAAAAATTTTTATTCTAATCACATGTATATGAAATCAGGAAAAAAGATAGTATCTTACTCAAAACTTTAGAGAAGTTATAGTAATTTTGTCCATATGTCCAAAAACTAATTACAGAAAGAAAGATTATTACATCTTTCATAGCTTCATTAGTCTATGTATGAGATAATGACTACATTCTCCTAATGTCCCTTGTCTCTGACCAGTCTTATGGGTGTATGAATATTTTAATGTAGAATTCTTCTTGGGTTATTGGGTACATTAACAATACCTAGAAAATGTCCATAATTACATACCTATGTAGACTTCTCTTTCTAACTCTAGACCTCATTCAACCCCTTACATATGGGAAACAGACTGGTGGAGAAGCAGCAGTTAGTAGAAGGAGTGGAGAACTTCAAACTTCATTTTACACTGGGAGGGCCCAGAAGAGAACAAACTTCAAATTCTGAGCCCCAGTCCACAGTTTCTCACAACATTATAGGTTATTATCTTAGGGTTATTATCCTATCAATAGGTTATTATCCTATCAATAGGGTTTTTTCTTCTTTAAAAAAAAAATCCTAATCTATGTGGCCGAAGGCCTTGTGCAGGGTCTCTAATATAAAACATGTTTACAGAAATAGATAAAGAATTTTTTCCTGAGCATCTGTTAAATCTCTAGCCATAGAAACCTCACACAGGGTTGTTTACATATCAAGAGGGAGTAGTCAGACTCCTAGGGCTGTTATTTACAATTCAAAAGGCAAGGATCTAGGGCTAATTAGGCTTCCTGAAGAAAGGCTGAGAGTGGAGAAGGGAACTGAAAGTTTCCTCAGGCATTGATTTCTTTCTGTAATTTTTTTAATAATTTCATTTCATACCCAGGTCTAGTTTTGCCATCGCAATATGAATTAAAGCACTTTCAAATTATGCCTGAAACTTAGCTGATGATCTTCTATAAACTTGTCTTTGTTAGGAAAAAGTTGTGTCATTTATTCTGTCAGGCAAGCTGGAGACATGAACGTTCTTTTTGCACTCAGGCTACATAATCCATCACTAAATCTTGACAATTTTATCTCCTACCTTTACCATTTATCCAACTCCATTTCCAGAATCACACTGTTCTCCCTTTAATTCGAACTACATTTATTTTTCTAACTAGTCCTATAGGACTGAAATCCTGATTTTCTTACATGCATTCTCGGTTTGTCTCAAAGGGTTTTACTCACCATGGTTCCTAAAAGAAACAAACACAAATGCACAAAAATAATGATGAATAATGGTTACTTAGAGTTACCATTGTGCTGGAGGCTCTTCAAGGCACCTCCCACATTCTAGCTCATTTGGTTCTTACCATCAGGTAGGTGCCAGTATTTGTCTCCAATTTACAAATGAGGGGAAATAGGTACCAAGAATTTGAAGATTTGTCCCAGGACCACAAAGCTACTAAGTATTGAAGCTGGGATTTAAATCTAGAAATCTTAGCTTTAGAGTTGATGCTCATTACAACTACATGATGTTGTCCCTCCATGAACATAATCTCTTCCGATTCAGAACTCTTCTGTAATTTTCAAATTGCTCCTAGAAACTATAGAGTCATCATACTGTGCCTGGAATATTCTTCCCTCCCACTCTGTGTTACATGTTTTTCATTCTTTATATGTTTCCATTATTTCTTTAGGGAAGCTAACAAATTATTAGTAATTCCTTTGTAGTACGCTATCACTTTGTCAATAATAATTATCACAGATGAAATTCGACATATTTTGTGATTATTCAGTTAATTTGTGTCTCATTCTCTACAACAGGAACTAAACAGAATTATATCTCCTAAGTGTACTATAGTCTGGAATCTGTATAATAGTTAAGAAATACTTTAAATAAACACAAAAAAATGTGAGAAGAAAGTAAGGAAAGAAGAAAGAGAGGGGGAAGGGAGGAGGGAAATTCTTTGTTTTGAAAAGTTCTGTGAGGAGCATTTCACAACAACCTTTCTTCCAGGTTAGGAATCTTTTTATATCCTTTCACTTGACTGCTCACCAATTCTCCATTTGAACAGTTCCATTAATGAATTGGACCTCATGAGAAATTGCTTCCATGACTGGCTGACTTATCTGTGAAGGATGCATTCCAAGATCCCCAGTGGATACCTAAAACTGCAGATAGTATCAAAGCATACATATATTGTGTTTTTCCTATACACACATACCTAGGATGACATTTAATTTATAACCAAGCACAAGTTAAGAGATTATGTATATGTGTATCTATACATATTCATATTATATATGTTTATATATATAAAGGCATGTATTAATCTCTATGGAATATTTATTGTTTTAATATATGTCTTACAAGATTAGAAGGCTAAAGCAAAGTATAATAATATCCTGGGCTATTTCTTTTTAACTCATGGGAAACAAATATATCACACCAAATGATTCTATTTTTTTCTTATGTTTACTGGAAGAAAAGAAAAAGTCAGTAGAGGAAAACACACTGGCATATATTCATGCTAGAAAAATAAAAATAATTGTTATTATGACACTTATTAAAAATATCTCCCTAAATAAAACTTGTGAAAGTGCCCTTGAAACAAATATTTTACTTCTGTTTTGCTAGAAATCGTTTACTCTTTT